TATATGAGGCGGCAGCCACGAAGCCAGCGTAATAACACACACCTTCATCCAGAATGCATGCGTCATCACAAACTGCAGCAACAGCAGCAGCAGCAGCAGTAGTAGTAGCAGAAGCAGCAGCAACAGCAGCACACAGGAGCAGCAGCAGCAGCAGACAGGAGAAGCAGAAGCATGAAGCAGAAGCAACAGCAGCAAGGATCAGCAGCAGCACGAAACAGTAGCAGCAAGTGGCAAACACGGGCGGCAGCAGCAGCAGCAGCAGCAGCAGCAGCAAGGAGCAGCAGCAGCAGCAATCGAGACAACTGCAGCAAAGTACATGAGCAGCAGCAGCTGCTGCTACGAACCCAGAGAGACGAGACAGGAAGAGAGAGGAGACAGCAAACGGAGACAGCAAAAGGAGGAGACAGAAGAAATATAAAGAAGAAAGAGACAAACAGAGGACACAGAAGAAAGAGACAGATAGAAGAGACAGATAGAGAGAGAGAGAGAGACAGACAGACAGACAGACAGACAGACAGACAGACAGACAGACAGACAGACAGACAGAGACAGAGACAGAGAGAGAGAGAGACAAAGAGAGATGATAGACAGCAGAGAGGCACTAAAAGCAGAGAACAAAAGAGAGAAGAAAAGGAGACAGAAGAAAGCGGCACCCAAAGCAAACAAAGACAGACAAAGGAAGTGGAGACAGAGGGTTGGGCAGCAGAGACAAAGCGGCTCCTCAGCAAAAGGAGACAAAGAGAAGAAGAGCAGCAAGACAGCAGCAGCAAGACAGCAGCAGCAAACAAAGAGACAAAGATAAAATAATCTCCGTCAGCTCCCTATACACCCCAACTTACCGTTATATCAAAATAACTGCGCAAAATAAACATAGAAAAAATATAAATTGTTACGCTGCATATTTCCGATGAAACCATCAGGGGATGCCTGCACAGCAGCAGCAGCAGCAGCAGCAGCAGCAGCAGCAGCAGCAGTAGAAAGGGAATTAGCAATAGCAGCAATAGCAAGGAAATCAGCAGCAGAAGAAGCAGTAGTAAGGAGATTAGCAGCAGCAGAAGCAGCAGCAAAAGCAGCTCCGCTGTCGATCGCTACTCCAAGCAGCAGCAAAAACAGATACCGCAGCAGTAGCAGCAACAGCAGCAGCAAGAAGCAGCAGCAGCAGCAGCAATGTGCGCAGACGCAGCAACACTAGCAGCAACGGAAACAGCAACAGCAGCAGGAACAAAAAAAACAACAACAGCACCAACAACAACTGCAGCAACAGCAACACCAACTGCAGCAGCAGCAGCACGAACAACAATAAATGCAGCAGCAGCAGCAGCAGCAGCAGCAGCAGCAGCAGCAGCAGCAGATACCATGTTTGTATCTCAGAGGCGACATTAAGAAGCTCAGCGAGCACTAGGGAAGTGAAGGAGATCGAGACAATGTTAGTAAAGCTCTCCTCGAATAAAACAATAGCACCCAGCATCAGCACTGCCCCCTAATATACACACAAACAGCAGCAGCAGCAGCAGTAGAAGCATCAGAAGGATAAGCAGCAGCAGCAGTAGAAGCAGTAGAAGCATCAGAAGGATCAGCGGCAGCAGCAGCAGAAGGATCAGCAGCAGCAGGAACAAAGAGAAAACAGTAGCAGCATCACCCCAGCATCAACAGCAACAGCAGCATCACCACCACCACCCCCGCCAGCAGCAGCAGCAGCAGCAGCAACAGCAGCAGCACCCCCGCCAGCAGCATCACCACCACCACCCCCGCCAGCAGCAGCAACAGCAGCAGCAGCAGCAGCAGCAGCAGCAGCAAGAGCATGCGTATGAGTATGATGTCTTTACTTGGTAAACAGATCTCCAAAGCCAGCCGAAGAAGCTTTTAATAGAGAGAGCTCTGCCCGTTCTTAGCGAGAAATATAATTCAGGAAACATAAACACTACTTTCTCCGGCAATTGAACATCCAGCACCAGAGACAACACAGGCGCAGTCGTGTAGTATGTCGCGTACCCCACTTGCAACCAACCCTGAGGTGTACGTACACCACAACATATATATATATATATATATAGGTATATGTATATATATATGTATATAGGTATATGTATATATATATATATGTATATATATATATATGTATATATGTATATATATATGTATATATATATGTATATATGTATATGTAAATATATATATGCATATATGTATATATGTATATGTATATGTATATGTATTGGGTAGTATATATAGAAATACATATACTTATAAATACATCTATATACATAAATATATATATATATATATATATAATATAAATATATAAAATATAAGTATATATATATATATATGATACCTGAAAGATAGCGAGTGGGATGAAGAAGAAGACAGCTGAAAATATGATTTGAACGACCGCAATAATTAGCCCTCGATGAATTACAAACTGTGCGAGTTTGGCGCTTCTTTGATAGCTGTTCCTGCCGTGCCACAGCAGCAATCGCTGCAGGTGACAGAAACTCTGTAAAGAAAAATCTGCTGCTAGCGACGCCTGACGACCCTCTTTGCCTTCTAAACCTATGCCGACATCCTATGCAAAACAATACATATATATATATATATTATATATTATATATATTATATATATTATATATGTATTATGTATATTATGTATATTATGTATATTATATATTATATATTATATATAAATAACGAAAGTATACATTATATATATAATATACATAATAACATAATAAATATATACATATATTATATAATATAGTATATAAATATTTCTTCTTCTAGGATCGGCATAAAGGGATTCAACAGCAGCAGCAGAAGCAGCAGCAGCAACATCAGCATCAGAACCACAACCCATCGCAGCAGCAGCCACAGCAGCAGCAGCACCACCACCACCACCACGAATCGCAGGAGCCGCCCCAGCAGCAGCCACAGCATCACCACCCGCAACAGCCACAGCAGCAACAGCATCACCACCAGCAACAGCAGCAGCAGCAACAGCAGCAGCAGCAGCAGCAAATTAGCTTACAGCAGCTTGTATCATGGACACATCATTACCTCCATCTCCAACAGCGCATGTGCGTTTATCTGTGAAGAGTTTAAGTAGAGAGACGACTGCAGCTTTTTGTGTAGGAGAGCAGCGACAGCAAACAACAGCAGGTGCTTGGCTAGCAGCTATAATGAAGTACTTAGGAAATGCTGATAAACATAAACACAAAACTTTGCCGTCCACCACCAACACACACTCGCTAGGACCCATGCTAAAACGCTCCAGTGCCTCCTGAGCCTGCAGCAGCAACAGCAGCAGCAGCAGCAGCAGCAGCAGCAACAGCAGCAGCAAAAGCAATAGATGAAGAAGAACAAGCAGCAGGAGGTGCAGCAGAAGACAGAAGCAGGAGCAGCAGCAGAAGAAGCAGCAGCAGAAGAAAAAGCAGCTGCAGCAGCTATACACACAGTGGCGGAAGAAGCAAACTGTGAGAAGCAGCAGCAATAACAGCAAATATAAAAAGAATATACGCATGCATAAATAAAACATTAACAATAAACAGATAAACAACAGCAGACACATCAACAGCCCCTGCACCAACAACAGCAGCAGCAGCACCAACAGCAGCAGCACCAACAGCGGCAGCAGCAGCAGCAGCACCAACAGCAGCATCAGCACCAACAACAGTAGCACCAACAACAGCATCAGCAGCACCATCAGCAGCAGCACCAACAACAGCAGCAGCAGCAACAAAAGCAGCAGCATCAGCAGCAGGACGATGATTAGTAATTTACCTGTGAAGGCGTGCGAATATTAGCAGAAGAAAGAACAGCAAGGGAGTGGTGCCTGGCTTTAAGCCCAGCGGAGACAGCAACACAAGTAGCTGTCTCTATCTTGTCTCCTGTTAACATCCAGACTTTGATGCCTGCATGTCGCAGACTTTCGAGTGTCTCGGGTACATTCTGTTCAACAAATAAACAAATTAATAATTAATATATATATCATAAATAAATATATAAATATATATATATATATAAATATATATATATATGTATACATGTAAACAGTTATATAGTGCTGGAAGAAGAAAAACAAAAAATCAAAGCCTATCTTCGTACACACGCTAGATTGATGCAGCAGCAGCAACAGCAGCAATGTCATCAACATCAGCAGCAACAGCAACATCATCAGCAGCAGTATCAGCAGCAACAACAACAGCAGCAGCACCAGCAACATCATCAGCAGCAGCAGCATCATCAGCAGCAACATCAGCAGCAACAACAGCAGCAGCAACAGCAACAGCAGCACCAGCAAAATCACCAGCAGCAGTATCAGCAGCAACAACAGCAACAACAACAGCAGCAACAGCAGCAACAACAGCAGCAGCAACATCAGCAACAACAACAACAGCAGCAGCAGCAGCAGCAGCAGCAGATTACTTGTTGCAGTTTGTCTTCAACTCCTGTGAGTCCGAGTATAATTAAATCTCTTTCTAACTTCTCTAACTCTTTTCTTGTTCTTCTCTCTCTGTAATGCATGTGCCGCCTCGCCTCTTCATATTTTTGTTTAAACTGCTGCAGCTGCAATAAAGTTAATTCTTTATATCCTACAACTAATGTCCTCAGCCCTAAACAAACAACCAAAAGATATATTCTTTTATAAACATATTTATTTATTTATTTATTTATTTATTTATTTATTTATTTATTTATTTAGTTTCGCAACTTATTTATATATTTCCTTGATGTGCTAATAAATTAATTAATTAACTAGTTAATTAATTAACAAATTAATTAATTAACTAATTTATTTATATATTTATTTGATTTATTTATTAATTTATTTTATTTATTAATTTATTTAATTTATTTAATTTATTAATTTGCATTTACCTTGTCTTGCGAAGTTATCGCATTCTTCCGCCAGCCACTGCGACCCTTTAGGGCTAACCAAAGACAGCATCACAGACTCAGCACCCTGTACACCGCAGCAGCAGCAGCAGCAGCAGCAGCAGCAG